GGTCGGCGACTGAAAAAAGTGATTGAATATGAGTCAGTCTTTAAACTTTTAGCACATTGATCGAAATATTTTACTCTGACATAGGCAATGCAAACACATTTCCAGCGATCGAACGTTAAGTTAATGTTAGTCTTTCGTCTTTCTATTTGCTAGTAAGAGCAAAATAGTATTGTCACTTTTCAGTATCTCCGTTCACGTCATCAGACAAAAAACGCTTATCGACAGTCGATTCGCTTTACCCTAGACTGAAGTAATAGACTACAACTGGACATTCATCTGTGTCGTTCTGTCTGTCGCACAATAATCATATGATAAATATGGTCATGCGGGTGACAATTTCGATCATTTTGACCATATTTATCACGGTCGGAACAAAATTTTAACAATTTTTGCCATATTTTGGGGCATTCGTGCCAGCTCTTTGGTCACTGATCGAAGAGCTGGCACGAATGCCCCAAAATATGGTCTAAACGACCACGAAAATGATTCAAGTGTCCAAAATGATGATGTGATTGACCATATCCATGATACAAATGATCAAATGTGCTTTTTTATGTCATCGATATGGTCCCTTGTACTATGACTGAAGTCGTTTGGTCCAGGACTGTGACCTTTTCAACCATAGCTATGGCTACCTATACTACGACTACTGTCATTTGTACCATGGCTGTGGCAACTTGTACTACAGCTGGGATCCTTTGTATTATCGTTATGACCACTTGCACTATCATTTCCAAGCTTTTGTACCATGACTTTGGCTATTGGTACCGTCATCATGATCATTTGTGCCATCAATACGGTCATTGATGCTGCGGCTATGATCATTTGTACCACGTGTTGCAAACAGACGGACGGACACAGGTGAATTTCCGTTTCTAGATCCTATCCTTTCAGTCTAGAGAAGATAAAAAAAGAAGCAAACAGCTGCAGTTAGATATCATTAAGAGAACTGCCATGAGAACATCGAAGATGACTCCAATACAGGAGGCACTCGATACAAAAAAAAAATTTTGTTTTTTTCTGCGCATTCGAACCATCAACGTTTGAAACTATCAATCTGAAAAATTTAGCTTCTAATTCCTTTCTTTCAAAAAGTTAGTCAATATCGACTTTCAGCACCATCATACTTTTTTTTGAAAAAGAAAACAAAAATTATCTTAAAAAGTTATACGTACTTGTATTTCAGCAGATCATTGAAATCTTTTATGGAATATACCAAAAGATAGAGACTTAGAAACTGAAAAGAAAACGAGGTATTTAAAATATTGTATATTATCTATTCATTAAGGTTATATAGCTCAACAAAGGTCGAAACTGACACAATTTATAAGTTCATGACAGTTGACTTTTTTGCAATATATCTGTTGTCGTTCTTTCAAATCAGGTGTGCTGATAGTGAAGTTTTGATGTGTTATATAAATTTTGATTCTGCGCAAAATGATAAAAAAATGGAAGAAAAATTTCTGCTTGATCCGAAAAGTAACTAACACTGTCTGTAACCAAGTGAATTCTCTGAAAGAAGACAATTCTGTATACTTTCAAAAGTCATCCATTTATGAAAATTTTCATCTAGCAGAAATTAGGATGTTACTCTGCATAGAATGACATGAATAGTTCTCTCGAAAAAAGGTAAAAAAGTTTTCGACTCTTTTCATCTCTGAGGAGAGGATAAGGCACATTTCGAAAAAAATTTTTATTTTTCGTCTAATCAAATAGTGATCATTCCGAACAATAGAGCTTGACAACCTGATCACAGCCATGTGGTAGAAATCCATTACGAATCATATTTTAGCGGTACAGGGTTCACCTCTCCAGGTCAGATACTTGCATATGTCACAAACTGTTACACAAGAAGAGTGTTGTATATATGACTAGATTACGATTACCAATGAATTTCTACCATATGGTTGTGATCAGGTTGTCAAGCTCTATTGTTCGGAATGCTCATTATTTGATTAGACGAAAAAAAAAATCTTTTCGAAATTTGCCCTATCCTCTCCTCAGAGATGAATGGAAGTCGAAAACTTTTTAACCTTTTTTTCGAGGAAACTATTCATGTCATTCTATGCAGAATGACATCCTAATTTCTGCTAGATGAAAATTTTCATAAATGGATGACTTTTGAAAGTATACAGAATTGTCGTCTTTCAGAGAATTCACTTGGTTACAGACAGTGTTAGTTACTTTTCGGATCAAGCAGAAATTTTTCTTCCAATATTTTTCTATCATTCTGTACAGAATCAAAATTTATATAACACATCGAAAATTCACTATCATCACTCCTGATTTGAAAGAATGACAGCAGATATATTGCAAAAAAGTCAACTGTCATAAACTCATAAATTGTGTCAGTTTCGACCCTTGTTAGGCTATATGACCTTAATGAATAGATAATATACAATACTTCGTTTTCTTTTCAATTTCTAAGTCCCTATCTTTTAGAATATATCATAAAAGATTTGAATGATCTGCTAAAACGTAAGCACGCATAACTTTTTAAGATAATTTTTGTTTTTTTTTCTAAAAGAGACTGTTAGCAGAATCACTACGGGATTAAAATATGAAACACGATGTAGCTGTTGTTACTAATCACGCAAATATTTTTTTCCTCAATATACCTTAGGACACATTTATTCATCATTTTTTATTTAATCCTGTAGTACTGCAATAAGGAAGCAGTTGATATTTTCTCATGAGATTCTAGTGATACATAATCGCTAATCGTGTATCAAAAGTGCTGAAAGTCAATATTGACTAACCTTTCGACGGAAGGATATTAGAAGCTAAAATTTTCAGATAGATAGTTTTAGACATTGATGGTCCGAATGCGCAAAAAAGAATCAAAATCTTTGGTGGTGTCAAGTCCCTCCTATGCTTGATAATTTCGTAGATTCTCTTTTGATAAGTTTTCGGATTATTTTGATTTCTTTTTATATTTTTCAAATATACAAAGTTGAATAGACGTAGAAGATATGTATAAAAGAGTAAGATTTGACAAGAAAGGGTTGAAAATAAATTTGTTAAACAAATTTAGCATGCTTTCCAATAACGCACTTACTAATAATAATAATAACAAGGAAGCATAGTAAACTTTGGATGATATCTTAGATGTTACAAATATATTTTTTCTGTCTGTTCTACTTTGTATGTTCCAAAAATACAATAAAACTCAAAATGATCCAAAATCTATGAAACAAATCTTTATATATGCCACTTTCACAGAACATGTAGTAGTTAGATGAACTTCTTGTAGTTAGAATGATTTTTATCGTATATCTTAACATATTACTAAATGTTTGATTTTTGAATTGAGTGTATTCCTAGAGAGAACAATCTTATTCCATACGTCTGGGCTGCTTAAAAAATAGTTTAGATAAATTCTTATAAAAATTCAATCTTGTTACCATCTTGCAACAAATGACTGATTAGTTTGATATTGATCTGTAAAATTTTTATATCAAATTCAACACTCAAAACAAGTCTAAATTTGATATAGGTTTCAATAGATCAAAATTAAACCAATAAATCATTTATTACGAGATCGTAACAAGATTGAAATAAATAAGGATTTATCGAAACTATACTTTAAGCAAATCAAATCTATGGAATATGAATTTTCCCGCTAAGTATGTATTCTATTCAAAAACCAAATGTATAAGAATGCATTAAACTTCTTGAATGAAGCTGAAACCGTAAAAATCACACATTTTGACGATTTTACTTTCGTTAAAATTGCGGCGTATTTTTACGAGTTTGTTTTTATTGTTCGTCTGATTGGTTAGTCGAATATTATTGTTCTTTCATAAATTCCTATGTAGGAAAAGCTTCAACGAGAACTTTCCAGTAGTACACAACATGAAAGGATGATTCACAATGCGCCTGACAGACATCCAAGAACATTTACAGAAGACCATTTGGCATACCATGACTATAGAGTCTCTTTACCCTAAAGGAGTTGTGCTTGAGCTTACTTCGTAAGAATTCATAAGGTCTTTTTTTGCATTATTGTAGATAATGTGAAATTTCACTTATTAAAAAAAATGTCGAATTCGCGGTATTTCCTAGTAATATTAACTGGAAGTACCCTGATATTATTATCTGGCTTATTCTTATATCATTCAACACCAACTGTATCATTATCATTCACATGGGATCGTGGACCTGTCTCTTCTAATATACCAAATGTCTCTTCTAATATATCAAATTTCTCTTCTAATATATCTACTGTTTCTTCTAACATATCTGTTTCTATAGAACCCAAGTTTATGCGAAGGAGTAAACTCAGATGGCTACGATTGCAAGATACCTACCATTTTATAAATATACGTTCTTTGTGGACTAGACCTCACAACTATAATGGACCAAGGCTTATCTATAAATGTCAATTGGTATGTGGTGGCCTTGGCGATCGGCTTCGTGGAATTATCACGTGCTTCATTCTAGCTCTGGTTTCTAATCGTCAATTTATGATTAATATGAAGTATCCAGCTGATATCAAAAATTATTTATTGCCTAATATGTACAACTGGGTGCTTGACGATAGAACGTCGAATTTGCGTCGTTCTCGCAAAGCCATCCGTGTTATTGATCATGGATACACCTTTGGAATGGAAATTCAAAATACAAAATTCATGAAGACTTGGGCATCATATGATGATATTGAAATAGAAACAAATTTGGATTTGGTTTCTGAAATTTTTCGAAATCCTCTTATTCGAAACAATAGCGTAATTAGCATGTTCTTGCTCAATATACCATTAGAAAAATTGACCTTGCCCAATTTATTTTCTTTCTTTTTCGAAATTTTATTTCAACCTAATTCTGAAGTTGTCAATGCATTAGAATCTATTCTTCAAGTTATTGAAAATGGCTACACACTCACTTGTTTACACTTACGCATGGCACGAAACCCGTCCAATCCGCGCGATTCTCGTTTCGAATTTCGAGATTCAGCTCCCGACGATATAATAGATTTCTTGGATAGAATAAATTTACGAAAAATGCGAAATACACGAGTTTTTATCGCGAGCGATTCTGAACAAGCATCGTCAAAAATAGCTCTCCAATTTCCAAATCAAACTATAACAGTACCTGGTCCAATCCTTCATATTGATCTACCAGCTGAGGGTGTTGATCGTGATCATGGATTTCTTAAAGTAGTTATCGATTTTTACGCGTTAGGAGAATGTCACACAAGTATTCTTACACCTAGTGGATTTTCGGCATTAGCCAATCGACGACGAATAGATCCATACCAAAACTTATTTAAATATGAGGACTCGAATAGGCGAATCGAACGTTGCCACAATGTCTACGAATATGGACCGCCACCAAAAGTCATGAATAGTCAATTATATTGTAGAGTAGTTTTCAATTGCTCTTCTCGTGAAATGTGAGTAGGCTGAGGAGCGAACGATTGAGAGTTTAGATGAGTTGGTTGATGCAGGTATCGGCAGGTGTGTGGATTGATGAGGTGTTGAGGATGTGGGTGTTTGATTTTTCTTCTTTCACATTCTGTAAAGAATTGAAACGTGAATATTTTGACACTAAAAGTAGGTCTTTTTAATAAAAGTTAGTTGAGAAAACCATGAAATACAAATTGTCTTATTCTCTATGACATAATTAGTTCTTTATATTGAAATTATAGTTTCTTTTGATCAAGTCAAATACATGATCATATTTTGGTCTCTCTAAAGAAATGTCCATAGATTAAACATTACATGGAACGAGCAACATCAAAACATGTCTTCTTTACTGCTGCTATGAATCTATTGATGAAAAACTGAAGAAAATACTGCAAATATAATCAGAGAAATTCTTCAAAGTCTACTATGGATAATTGAACTCAAAGACTTTGACTGATTATATGATTCGACAAAACTGTCATGTTTCAAGTGATTTCATCAAAGAAGAATTGTCACTTACTGAGTTTGAAAAGTTATTTTCAAGATACTTAGCTTGATTTAATTCTCAAAAAAGACAATAAATTTGCGAAACACATCTTAATAGTTTTATTTGTAATTTTTCAAGTAATATTTTGTCGTCAATGTATAATTAATTTTACTGTAATTGTATTCTGCAGATATATCTGTGCTTAGCTGAGAGATGTTCGAGATCAGAACTAATATGGTAAACTCAGGATCTATACAAATAGTTATTTTTAAGAGCTAGCTTTTTAAAACCTCGAGTTTTCTACTGTTTAATCGAGCAATAATTGCAGGAATTTTATGCAATGTATGGTTTTGACGTCTTCAATATTTTCCAGATGATTGACAATTATTCAAAAGCTATACATTATGCTGCAGATCTACCAATTGGATCGAAAAAGATCAATTGATTGAATGAATTTCTTCAAACAAAATAAAGAGTTCTGCAACTCTCAACAGTTATCGATTACATAAACAAATAGCTTCCTAAATGAATAAAACTCTGATAAATATTCTAGTAAATTGACTTTTTCATATCGACAGTACTCAATGTGTCTATTGAATAACTTTTTTTTTTGACATCATAAGGCCTCAAGACTGTGTTTTTATTGAAATTCTATAATTGGTAGAAGTGTTTTGATAGCTCATATATTGTTTTGTTGTGTTGACAATGCATAAAACATATAATGTCTCTCATGTTTCTGCGACTCAATGACTTTTGTTTGATGCCATTTAACTCAATCCATATAGAAAAATGTTCACCTCTACTAAATCATCAACTAAAATTAATAGAATAACTTTTCAATTAAAACATTATATTTTCATCGAAAAATACCAAGAGATTAGTATCGATACAAAATGTATTATACATTGAGTAGGTTATTATTGAACTTTTTAATATCAACGTGAGAAAATATAAAGCAACCTTGAAAATTTGAGCAAGACTCTCAAACAGCAAACGAAAAGACGTAAATCATATAATCGACAGAGGGCAAACAAAAATGCACACTCAAAATAGGTTGCTTATCGCCTTTTCTTATCTGATATGTTTACAATAATATTGTGAGCAGATATTTACAACATGTTGATGCGTCAAATTATTGTCGAGAAAAAAAAACAGTCGCTGATCTACGAAAGACATTCATATAGCAGAAAATTAGGTCATTGAATTAGCATCGACATTTGTCAACCACACTATTAGATGTACTGAATTCTACAAAAAGAATAGTATCACTAACTTTTTGTACAAATAGATTCAATGAACTGCATTCCTTATCACTAAATTAGATCGAATCCAAAATCTGAAAATAATTTAGTTAAAATCCAACGAAGTGATAGGTATTCTTTTATTGATTTGCACGAAAGCATAAACAAACGATATTCGTATTGTTGATCTTTCAGAGAGAGAGACCGTGTTTCATTAGACCAACGACTGCCTGACATCGGTAGATTTGTTCTATGTCAATGGTATCGCTTAAAATGAGATCATGATAATATATTGAGTTACTATCGATTTCTCAGCCTTGGGTATGGCTGTGAAATCTAACTTTGAGTGTAGATGTCTTGTTCTTCACACATCCGCCAACCCTATATAAGCAATGACATCTATTTTCATTTTAGTTTTTATGCTCGTTGTACAACTGAATGTGTACTAAAAATTATTTATATGCTTGACTATCGTATGAGATGTTGTATTCTATGAACAAGGAGAAAATAGCACGATTAGCAACTGACACAGGATTTTTCTGTTTCTGCGTGCGACTTAGTGATCACTTTGAATCATTAACTGACAGTTTTTTGCATTAACGAAGTTTACCGATGTAATTGTCGATTAAGTATAGTTTACTACTAAAACTGATTCAGTTTTAATGACATGAAATATTATTCGATGAACTAATGATTATTCAATGTAAGATCAAAAACACATCTTTAATATTAAATGATAACAAATTTTTGATGTGACACTTTGTTTTTGTTTTATTGTTTGTCCTTAAACTATGAAAAAAAAAGGAACAAAGTGCAAGAATATATATTGTTATCTCATTGTTGACTACGCATGATATTTCATTTTTAAAGGTTGATAACTAAATTATATATGTATGATTAAAACAGAAATATGACCATGGAAGAAGTAGTGTACATCCATCAGTTTTAGAAAATTTTCACGTTTTTTTCCAGCTAAAATCGTATTTTTTATTACAAAGAAAAAGATCATAAAGTGAAAAAAAGATAGTTCAACGTCTTTCCCGTCACATTCCTAACTAAAAATAATAAAATGATATTAAAAACATGAAAAAAAAAATTTTTTTTGTTTTTTAGATTTGAAACAATTTAACATAAATGTCAAGAGGACGATCAACATCTTTTGATATTGACGATGGAAAAACAAAATCAAATGTTTTTCAAGTAAGATTTTATTTTTAAAAAAAAATTCTTCTTATTTATTTCTGTTTTTTTGCAAATTTATAAATTAGATAGATGTTATATCACAATCAAATGGAGATAATCAGGCACCAGATAATACTGAAATAGGTGTCGATGATAATAGAATTTTAATATCACCAAATAGAAGTCATCTTCATCGAAATTTAAAAGAACGACATATGATTATGATTGCATTAGGTGGAACAATTGGTACTGGATTATTTTTAGCTTCTGGTCAAGCATTAGCATCATCAGGACCAGCTGGTTCTCTTATATCTTATGTTGTTGTTTCAATTATGGTTTATTTTGTTATGACAAGTTTAGGTTTGTATAAACTTTATAAAAAAATTCTTCAAAAAATTTTTATTTTCTAAAATGATTTGTTTAATTAATCTATTCATTAATTATTTCTTTTTCTTTTTTTTTTATAATCAATTGTATGATTAGATTAAATAACAAATCTCATAGAAAAGATTCTCTTGATATGTTAATCAATGAAATCAACTGAATAATAGATTAAACAAAGTTAATATAAGAATATATCGAACTATGTTACTTTCAATAACACATATCAATATTGAAAGAACAAATTCATTTTCATGTTAAATACTAAAAATAAATGGTTTATTTCAAGATTTTTAATTTAACATCATCTTTTCTTTTCAGAAGTAAAAAAAATAAAGAAAGAAAGCTTTTCATGAAAAATTTTTAATAATAAAACGTCAAGTTTTTTTTTTCATATAAATTAATATTTAACAATGAAAAAATCTTGAAATTTCGATTATTTTGATGAATTTTCTATAATTAAAAGAGTATTTGGCTTTAAATTTAAAATAAAATAATTTTATACTAGACAAAAAAAAATAATCAGTATCGATTAACATTATCGAAATAATCTTTACAAATAAAATCAAATACTCGAATTTTTAATAAAATCAATATGTAAAAAGTTTTATGAGAACATGTCTCATTAATAATTGTCTATTTAGAATTGACTAGATAGAACCAAAATTAATCAACTAGAATGACAATTTTTTAATGAAAGACAAAACCGGAAGCTCTATACAATTTATCATATTTTTCACTTTCGTATCTTTGATAAAAACAGACTCGATAAGAAAAAAAACCTTTGTTTGTCTTTTGAAAAACTCTCTCTTACCTAAAAAAATTTCTAGTATTCCATAGAAAGATTGATGAGAAGAAAGTGAAATTCGTCAAAGATTTTCAATGTAAAATGCATGAGTACACCCTAACGGAATAATAGTAGAACGTTCAGTGTTGAAGTCCGTTATTTTTTCTCGTGGGACTGTTACCCTAAACTTGTATTGAAAGAAATTTTATTTTAAAAATTAGCAAATAACACATAATTCGATGCATTCTTTTCGTGCTAATTCCAAATATGTCCTTATTTTTCTCTTGGAGTACTTCTCAAACTAAAGAACGTGAAAAATCTTTAAAAACCAAGACTTTTTTAGAAAATCAGTACCTCAGTCCAAAAGCAATTGTATACATCTTTATACTAACTGAGTAGACATATTAGACAGAAGAAAATATTCTATGAAAGTTTCATTAAGTTTGGAACTATGCTAAAATGTGTACACCGAACACGAGTTTTTAGAAGAAGACAAATATCCTGTCTTTCGACTACCTTGTGGATCCATCGCTTGAGCTCTCCATACATATTGACTGACCACTAGATCTTTTTTTTTGTGTATGTTAACTATGTAGTCAGTTTGATACCGAACGAATGATCCGAGACAAACAATCATTAGTCTTAACCATTCAGCTATAGTGGCGACTTTTCAGAAAACTCTTCATTGAGAGAGTATACATACTTTTTCCAACAGGAAAACTGTTTTTAAAAAGTTTTTTCATATAGAACGGTAAAGCAAGAGCTCTCCGATTTATTCCGTAGGGCTTTCTACTTTGTTTTCTGGAAACGGATACTTACTTCTAAGACGACAGAAACTTGGTCATTATTTGTGCTTACAATTTTCTCAAGTTCTTAAAGAACTAGAGTAATTTTTTCTAAACCAAAAAGTCGA